TAAATCACCATTTAAGATTATACTACAATAGCTTTTGCTTACTGAGAAGTAAATACTATTTTTTATTCTCTGAAGGTTTAAGACTAGTGTCTTTGCAACACTTTTAATAGAATAATCTGTCTCAAACAAAATATATATTTGTATAAAGTATAACCATTTAAAAAAATGTCGTTCACCTTACATTCAAGACGACTTTATCATTAATATGTATGCAACAAAAAATATTAATCATTACTAAATCAAGGCAAAAATTTTCATAAAAGATGGCCGTTTTACCATTCATGATATTCTATTCATTATTCTACCAAATATAAAATTATTTCTTTGTTTTAAAAGGTATTTTTCATTCATTCAAATCGTAAGTAAACAATACTTCATGACTTCATTCAAAAATAAGTCCTAATTATATTCATACAAAGTTTAAAATCGAAAAATCAGTAAATAATCGATATTGTCTATAGTAAAAAACTAAAATAAACAATACTTCACTTAATTCTCGAACTACTAGTTGCTTTAATTTGGAAGTTTATGTACACTAATTATATTTATTTCTTTGTTTATATGTCTTAATACGAATGGCTAACAAATAAATACAAGGAATTAATGTATGTATATATTTCCTCATTCCTATATCTGAACCAAAAACGGTAACGTTCTGTCTAACAATATGAATTTATTTCAAATACTATGACGTTGAATCACGTTAGTGCTAAGCAAGTCACACACAGTTCTTTGTATTCTCCTAAAATGTATGCGACTAGTTATCAGTCCACATGCAAAACGTGTTCAGACTGCAAATACGCTATAGGTTTTTCGACATCATTACAACCATTATATTATTTTAAACAAACAAAATCGCTTATAAAGCTAAATAGTAGTAAAACAATTAAATAATATATGAAATATTCAAACAATTCAATTAATAGTTTAATTTCTGTGTTAAAAATGATTTATTGCTTCTCGAATGACACGTAATTGATAAGTAATTACATACGTAAGTTATAATGACGATTAAATCAAACAAAATCGCTTAAAGGGATAAACAATTGTTAAACAATTTATTTATAAATGAAGTATCCTAATTATTTAATTAATGCTTTGACTAGGTTTAAAATAACAATACTTCTTTAGTAAAATATAAGTACGTCTATAAAACGTCGTTGTTTGACAAGGTTTACTAAAAGCGTCATAACTAACTTTAGACTACAAATATTTTACTTTTTTAACATAATTTTCTAAGGTAATGATGAAACATATTATTAATTATGTAACTAAATAACTTATTGTCACATAAATTAAAATGTCGCATTGATATATCAAAATATTTTTTTATATTGAAATGAAATATAACATTGTTTGAAACATAAACAATATTCCATAAATCAATACTTATGCAGACTAAAGAATATTTATATTCATGATGTAAATGTTTCTTTTTTAATTTTTTACATTGATATTATAAATTCAAAACCGTAGTCATATATTGTAAATGTGACTAATTTATGCATAATATTAAACCCAGTTGTTTTCAACAATTATGCATTATTTATAGTCTGTTAAAAAAAACTCTGACGACAGATTATTAATAATACAAATTAAAATATCCATATAAATTAAAAAAAATATAATAATTATAAAATGATACATCAAACTCAATCAATGCTTTTTTTAATTTAGATGTAATTAAAAAGTTATTAAATATAATAAATCGCTTCTTTCATTGAAGATTTTCACTGTAAGTGTGTCAAGATTTTGTTATTTAATAAAAAGATGAATACAATCAACCTTTTTTCTGTGTGAATTAAAGAATTTTAAGACACGAAGACAATCTTATTCAGAAAAACACTGAATAAGAATTTCTATTTAGAATTTTTGGTAATATTAAAAATATACAATAGGAATTTAATATCTTTATTGTAGAATACGGTACGGGTAGAATGTTTCACTTCACGAAGTAGGTCAAACTAGAACGAATAGAGGCAGCGTATTCCGGTGAGATGATATTAAAAACTCTTTTCGCGAAACTCATTTTATATTTTAAAAAATATTTCTTTTTTTATCTGTACGTTTGGTGTATTTTAATTTTATTATTAAATAAACATCTAATGAAACATAGTACTGGTCTCAAGTTACATATGAGGTCACTTGGTCTAACCAGTCGTGTGTTACTTGGAAATATAATATATGTTATAAATATATTATTACAATAACACATCAATATAATATATATGTAAGATATAACTATACATACAAGTCAAATATTTCAATTAACCTAATCTCAATTTCTTCGTATTTTCATATCGCAAAATCAGATTTCAAATTGCTAAAGGTTGCCTGGTATAATTGCTATTTATAGTCTTAAAGAAAGGAACAGTGAACAAATAAAGTATGAGAATTATGACTCGATACAGCGACCTTGGCGTGCCAGTACACCGGTTCTTTGGTGAAACAAAACCAAAAGGAAAGATTTAGAGCAGGACTGTCGTTTGGAAGTGGATGAAGGGCTTAGTATGTGTTGTAAAAGTTTGCAGTCACACTACATACGAGGCGTCTCCCATTCCGCATGCAATAAGTAACGTTATTATAGTAATATGTCAAGATTTACGACTAAAAAACTCTACTCCGAATGTCGTGTGATGATGCACACTTAGAATAAGACTACTTAGATCAATGGTTGTATGACCAATGTAAAACATATGTAAATTAGATTAATTTATTAAAAATATATCTAAAATTTTATAATACAGGAACGTCATTTGATTTTTCGACATGATTTTAAAAAATACTGCCTTTCAAAGCTTTTGATGACAATTAGTTTGTTCAACAATATATTTGTTATTGTAAACTTTATTAAAAGCCTTTAAGATTTTTTGCTTTAAAGAAATTACGAAACTTATATTAGTATATTGAAAGTCATATAATATATATGTATGTATGTTCATAGTACTCAAAGAAGCTCTACATCCATTTTCAACTTTAATTTTTATCAAATATATATTCTTTCTTAAACTTTCCTATTACCGTATGTTTCGATTCTGTTCGTGTCTCACAAACCATAAAACAGCCTGACTGTAATGTAAATTTAAAATGTCAAAGATTACGTCACGGTGCTGTCCCGGGGAATACTTTATTCATGTGATTTAACTCAAAGGCATAGAGTTCAAAATCGTGCTGTAATTCATTCAGGTACAGCTTGAATTCTAAATTTTAACTAAATCTCCGTACGCTTTCCGCCAGCCTTTCATAAATATTTAGCATGTCTCATGAATTGTACAAGTCTCGTCACACCGGAATCCGTAATACGATTCTATTTTACGTAACCATAGATTACGGAGAGAAAATCATTTAAATTTCGTTTAAGGAAAAACTTGTGTGAGATACCGTTACTCTAAATTATTACTGCATATATATTTTAAATATATTAAGTAGATCTATTAAGTATCATTATATGTAGAATATTATATATTAACAAGTACTGATAATATTATGAATGATTTATTTAAAGAGCTATTGAATGAGCCGATTGATAAAAATCGGTGTCCCCTATATTTACGATTAACTTAGGTAATTTGAAAGATTTTTGTGAATATAAAGAAAATAATATATTTTTGGGCTTAATAGTGATTTCTTAAAATGAAATGCAGTAAAAGAAATAATAAATATATTCTCAAAAGTACCAGGAGACCAGAATTGGTATGGCGTAATAACACGACGTTATACGAGCTCTCCGTAGCGTTAAGGCCTGAGGCTAAGAGATTCATCTCAAGACATTCTGAAGTCTATACCACTTTAGATAAAGTTCATTTTACGACATTCGATTGAATTCAGACAATATTAAAACGAACCGCTGGAACGCAACTGGGCCAGTAAAACAAGATTAAGGGGAACTTTGCAACAACAGTTTGTGCTTTACAAGAGACGAATTTCCAAAGTAAACTGATATTTAAGTATAGTGCTAAAGAAATATATTTATATTACAATCACTTTTTGATTATTAATATAGCTATATCAAAAGGTTTTTTTTACATTTTCTTTTAGGACGTAGTTTAATTGAAACGTTTTCCTATAAAAATTCTATATAGTCAATTACAGGCCATAATGTATGTATAGTGTATACATATAGTTATTTCTATGTTTTTTTGAATGTGTGGGAATGTGTTGGAGCAGACGTTTTAATGTCAAGGTTGCTATGTTAATGAGTGTTTTGTATTGCGGATATTAGGACTACATTGTTGTCTATCAAATATTTTTTATATGATTTTATATAATATTGATATTATTATCTGATATTTATAAGACACATAACGAAGATATTGGGTATTAATTAGTAATGAATTATACCACAATTATACAGGTTCTGAGTCGTATTGTATGCTAAAAGATTTGAAACCCCTTGCAGGTATTGCAAAAAACCATTTCATTCTCTATAACGCATATTGACGTCATCCTAATACTTAATGCGTTTCGCATCCTTTGTGGTTTACCGAATAAATATTTTAAAACAATAGACCTAATAATTTAATTCAGATCTCGCACTTTACTATTATTTAGTTGGTGTATTCAATGATTTGGTTTTATTGTACATGTGTACATTAAATAAGCAGACAATGTACATATTATAATTGTACACGGTATCAGTCGCGGTAAATGATTATTTTGTTTGAGTAATTTACACACTTCTATGTAATAAATATTGTAATTGCAATTCAATATTTCAACTTTGATATAATATTGAAAAAGTGTATTAAATATAAAACTATATATTGAGTTCGGTTATATCGCGTTTCCAAGAGAACCTTCCAAATATCTAGGATAAAAACTATTCTGTTCTTTCTCAAGGTCAACTCTATCTTTGTTCCAAATTTCATTGAAATCAATTCAGTGGTTTAGGCGTGAAAGCGTAACAGACAGACCGACAGACAGAGTTACTTTCGCATTTATAATATTAGTAGGGATTTGTTAATATTTTTAGTATATTAGTGGTCATTTTCTTTTCACAGAGAAGGGTAAGATTGGAGAATTAGATTTCTCTTTGGCGCAACTGCTCATGTGCTGTGGTTTCTTCATCATGTACCTGGTTGAAGAGATAGTACACATGTACATACACTATCGGGAGAAGAAGAATGGAAGGAATGCTCCACTAGTACGGAATCTTAGCGTCAGGAGGAGTAGAGCTAGTAGTGAGGGAAAGGAGAATGGAGATAAAAGTGTCACCACGTCCACCGCTGATTTGATAGATCCAGCATCAATTATAAAGGGAAAGGTACTAGACGAAGCTTTAACCGAGATTACTATAAAAACAAACGTCATCAGCCTACCAGAGCCCACTGCTGAGCAAGGCCTCTTTCTCACATGGAGAAGGTTTGAGCATTATTCACCACGCTTGCTCAAGACGGGTTGGTGATTTCAAACTTATAATTGTGAAATTATAAGTCCAGGTTTCCTCACGATGTTTTCCTTCACCGTATGTCAGTGGTGTCTAAATACTCTCAGAAAGTACATATGACTCCGAAAAATCACATTGGTACTTGCCAGTTTTGAACCCGCGCCCTCGGCAACGAGAGGCGGACCCTTTAACCACTAGGCCACCACTGACTATAACTATAAAAAAAACGGGTTGATTTATTCCTCATAGTAAGAATACAGAGTTAAGTTACAGTAAGAATAAGAAGTAGAATACAAAGTTACCTGAAATTTTCTTGGTCGTATCTTATTTGAAAATCATATCGAACAATTTTTTGTATTAATTTTTTTTATTCAACTTGAAACTTTATAAATTTTGCTATTCCAATAAATTCTTAGTTAATTTAACAAATTTCGCGTAATTTGTTTTTTGCTTTTAATACATATTTTATTGATAGTGTATATGTACTTTCTAAGAGTATTTAGATACCACTGATTAAAAGAGAGTTGATGTCAGACAGGCGGCCGGTCGTAAAAAAATTTTTTTGCCAAAAACTATCACAACATGTAAGGCAGACCCTGGCTAAAGCTGGGAAATTGCCAGGTAGAAGAAGAAGAAGTGAAAATTGATTTTATAAAAGCATTCATTATTTTAGGACATTGAAATAAATGGTCAGGGTATGCATAGCCACAGCCACAGCCATGGCCACGGCCACAGCCACATGCCAGTGACGTCATCTGATGACGTCACATCCGCGCTGCGTGGTCTCCTCATTGTTCTGGCGCTCTCCATCCACGAGCTGTTCGAAGGTCTCGCAGTGGGATTGGAATCCAGCACAGCCCACGTCTGGTAAGTTTAATAATAGTTATTATTAAATATAAGTGGTAGTCGTGACAAGAGAATTGGGAAACTGCCAAAGGCATAGGCAATTTTTTTTAGATAGAAGAAATCTTACGCTTACGAAAATTTGTTGCCTGCAATCAAGACTGAAATTTTTTCAAGGCAATTATGATTCAGACGATAGACTCATGTTGAAAACTGACTGTAATATTTATTTTCATCGCAAATCAAAATATATATTGGGAACTATTTGCACAAATAAGTGGTAACATAAATCCTACAATGCTAGCTGATAATTAATGGGTCATCATGAGCTGAACAAATTTCACTTAATTCTTGCTAACTATATTCATTGTAATGCGACATGGAATAGATAAGAGAAAAAATTCAGGATCATTATGAGACTGTTCTTTGAATGAGTCACTATAAATAACTTATTAGGAAAAAAAAGGACTTGTCAAATTCTTACTCTACTTCCTAACATGACAATTAGGAAAAAATAAAAATTAGGTCTTTGATAATCTCTCGTTAAAATTCAAGTAATATGCCTCATAACATTGAAGCAGTAGAAATGTTCAAATCCATATTTTAATTGGATATAATCTATTTAGCGATATGTTTTCAAATCCGCTAATTTATTATAATTGATTGTAAGACTTCGTTTTTATTCGTTATATATAACTGACTAAAATAAGAGTATATTTTCAACACAATTAAATCAAAGAAGCATTTCATTGAATATTTTGAAAAACAAATATTTAGCACTTTTTAGTTGCGCCATCTAGCGTCAGATAGGTAATATTAACACTAGCACCATCTTTTATCGAATAGTATAGTCATAATAAACAAAATAGAACATTAAGTTTTCATCAATTAATGGTTTATGTATATTAAAAAAAAAAAAAAACGAAAATATATTATATAAACTAAATTAATGTAACAATGTCTTTCTGTTATGGTTTTCGTGCTAGATTTTGGAGTTTCAATGACACTTTAAAAGATTTAGTAGGTTGAAGGTTCTGCCAAAGTTTAATACATATCTTATATTCTCATTATCTTGTCAACAGTTAGAATTGGCAGTCATAATTTTATAAATTAATTATAAAAAGCAGAATAATTAATACGTACTATAATGTATTACAGGTACATGCTGGGCGCGGTATCTGCTCACAAGCTTGTTATAGCTTTCTGTATTGGAGTAGAATTAATAGCGACGCGAACAAAGACGTGGGTCGCCGTTATATATATCACCACTTTCGCCATAGTATCACCGTTCGGTATTGGCATGGGTTTGGTGTTAGTGGGTGGTGATAGTGCTGCTGCGTCTGGTGTTTACTCTGTGGTGCTGCAAGGCCTGGCTTCTGGAACCCTACTCTATGTTATATTCTTCGAAATCTGGAAGAACGACAGAACTGGAATACTACAGTACATTGCTGCTATATTCGGCTTCGCGCTTATGTTTGGATTGAAACTTCTGAGTGAGTATTTTATTTATTTCAACAAAATTTTCTTCAAAAAAATTATTTCACTAATTTTTGCCTTTTATCTTAACAATAATAAGTTATTAGAGTTTTAGTATTAGAATGTTTTTTCGCATATTTTTTCTCACTGGCAGCATTAATATATATATTTTTTTGTCAACAGCTGGTCATTCACACAGTCACTCACACGATGAGATTCAGAGTCACAGTCACAGTCATTCACACGACGTCGGACACGGTCACAGCCACAATTAATTTAATTACTAGCTTAAATTAACTTTAAGTTGTACAAAACTAGATAAGCTATGTTATTATAACGATTATTTGCGAACACATTTCTTGTGATGAGTCTAATTAAGTATTAAATAATTATATACTAGTAAGTTAAAACATCATTTGGTTAATTCAGTATTTTTTTGTTATATTCGCTAGCTAACAAATCGTCTAGTCAAGTTAATTAAGATAACAAGAGATTAAAATAAATTATGAGAATGTTCACATTTTAATATTCTGAAACGCTGTTTTGATTGATTAAAAAATCTGTAGGTACATATAAAAGTATCATTGACTATTTCACTAAATATTGTTAGAAAAGTAAAGAAAAAAAACAAATACTGAGTGTAAAATAATCTTAATTTTAAAGAAATTTTAACTAACAAACATGATTCGGATTTGGGAAGAAGATATTTGTATATCTGTGATATAATAACGCCGCTAACAAATACATTTCAATAAAATTATATAAAAATGGAAGTATATAAAGACGATGATAAAATATAAATAATGCAGTATAGTTTTAATGTAAATTATTTTTTCGTGTAAATATAGCCTATATATAAAGTAAATTGTTTCATTGCCCTTTATCGGCTCGTTATTTATTTGTTAAAGGTTACTTTGGGTTAAAATAAATGGGGAAATTTCAGGAAAGTCCAGTGTCCCAAATAATCGAGCAATAAATGAAAATCCAGGAAAAATATTAAAAATTAAGAAGATTTATTATTCTATTCCTTCCAAAAACCATTAATTATGAGCATGTTTGTTTTTTAGTCCTTCAATTTGTTGCTCATAAGTAATCTAATCGATTAAATTAGAACTTTGGATAAACCTTTGACCTTTGAGATTCTTCCTCCGAAAATGATGTTAGCAAAAAATCATTAATCTCTTATTTTCATCATCATCATCATCACCAGCCTATCAGAGCCCATTGCAGAGCAAAGTCCTCTTCTCACATGGAGAAGATTTGCTCACTAATCACCACGTTTGCTCAAGACGGGTTGGCGATTTCAAACTTATAATTTGAAATTGTAAGTCCAGGTTTCCTCACAATGTTTTCTTTCACCGTCTGTCAGTGATGTCTAAATACTCTTAGAAAGTACATATGACTCGGAAAGATCACATTGGTACTTGCCAAGTTTCAAACCTACGCCCTCATGCATGACAGGCAGGCTTTAAACGTTGGGGCCACCACGATCAAGAATATTTAAAATATTATTATTTTATAAACGTTAATGCATTCTGTCATCTTTGAAAAAGTTGAAACAAAAAGCGATCTTATTGCATGATGAAAATTTATACTTTAGCTTAAAGAACATACGTATAGAACTATGATTGATTACTTCTAGATAAAACATTTAGTATGCCATAACTTTAGTAACCCACATTAGAGGTCACCAATATCTCTCGACGACTTGCATATTATTTTTCAAACTACGAAGACGTGGTAAGGTGAAAAATGAAAATGGTGAATGGATGACAATGCCTTTGAAGTGAGGGTGAAACTAGTGTCTAGACCTAGCGATGTTTACACACAGTTCACAAAGGATCTAGGTAGATCGAAATAAATTCTTCTATTTGTCAACGTAGTTAATTTATATATAGGGTAATTCTAGCAGGTATTGTAAATACAATATCCACGAGTAAAAATCTAGTGGGTCGTGGAAAAGTTGGAGACAGTTCCTGTTTTAAACTACAATGAGACAGGAATCGAACGAACGGAGAGGTGTATATATAGGTTTAAACAGAATCGACCTGGTATTCGGATAATTCCCTTCTATTTAAGAAAGAAAGCTTTAGGTTTTGGGGCCAAAACATAACTTTGACTCTGGTGTTTTGATCTGATTTAACTTAACTTTGTTAAGATAACTCAGTCAATGAAGTTTGCGCCGGCCTCATCAATTTAATTATAGAAAGAAGAAATTCATGTGCTAAGACTTTTTTTTATTGATCATGTACAAACATTTTATAGTGGTCTTGGTGAAATTCTATTAAGGATACGCATTATATAAAAAAAGACAAAATCTGATTTTAAACACTAGATTCTTTAAGGAGAGTAGGAATTTATATTTCTAGCTAGCTTCGTTGAGAAAAGTATAACACAACGATAACGATCAACAAAATGTGTTTATACTGACGTCACATCTCAATTACGTTATTGGTAATAGGCAAGTCGCTACATAGTCACAAAATAGTCACTAAATCTTTTTGGTTGTCAGAGATAGGAGGGACAAGATTTACAAGTACTTCTGCCGTAAAATAATATTGAATTAGAAGTACACCCCGTTTTTTATTTAACCGAATTCGCTTGACAACATAACTACGAGTAGATTATGATAAAAAAAATTGTGAAATTGTTCGTCAAGTTCCGAATATGTCAAATATATTTAATTGACATTGTAGATTACAAAACATTAAAGACCTTCCCGCAGTAATAATTTGAATATATAAAAAGGCCAAGATTATAATCTACATATGTTCTATTTACTGATTCTATTTTGGAATAATTCTGTGAACTTGTTTGTAATTAATTATATTTTATGGTGTACACGATGATAGGCTTTCGACAAATTGCTTTTTCATATTATAAGGATCAATTTAATATTAGTGATGTGGAAAAGGACATTTCAAATATAAAAAACTTCGACAGAGGTCAATTTTGATGGATACTTTTTGAGGGTATCAATAAAGTATTAAAAGTTCTTTTCAATCTTATATACATTAAACAAGTTGATGATACAAGCGTATGATTGTTTTTAATCCCGGAGAGAAAAACATGGTGTACCTTTGTTTCTCATTGGTGTACCTTTGTTAACATGGTGTACCTTTGTTAACATTCATTTCTCATGAATTATTTTTTTATCTTATTACTATTTTTGTGTCCTATGTGACCGAACTATATTTTTAAGTAAGTAAACTTTTCATATTAATTAACATTAAATATCAATTTAATCTATTATATTAGATGAGGTGCCATAAAAACTATTTTGTATCGACCTACTTCATACTTAGTTTGTCTCCACAAAGTTCCATCAAAATGGACAAGCAACACGTCATTAATAAACACTTTAATTGGATATTAAAAATACGAATGTGTTTTGGTTTCTATCACAATATATTCGGATCAAATTTGTCTATTTTAAAGTATTTATTGAAAATTTTCCATCTAATTATTGGTTTTGTAATTCTATACGCGGGACTGCGTTGTAAAGTTCTGAAATATAAGAGAATTAGTCACATTTTCAGGGGAATAGAATACATAACATGTTTTACAATAACATTTTGGTCAGAAAATAAGTATCTTGTACGATACTGTCAAACTGTTATCATTAATGATACCAAGTATTGGAAGAAGATATATCTTATTATATTTAAAATAATTCTAACATATTTTATTATAATGATTATATTTTATATATTCCATATTACATTTGTCAATAGTATTAAAATAATTGAATGCGCACAATCTATTTGGGACATGTTTTTGTTATGTTTTTTAGTATTCGCTAATGAGCTAGGAAAATTACCAGTTTTAATGGTAGTTTTGCTGTTGTACTATAGAATTAAATTGCTTTGTTCAACCATACGAAAAAATGTTTTGAATACAACATCTATAGTTTGTGTAAAAAGATATATTAACATGTACGACCGTAATTTAAAAGAGCTCGACAAAACGGATGCGTATATAAAACCAATGGTAATTTTCTTATTATATTAAATTTCAAAAATATTTATAATGAATGAGCTATATAATATACCAACAGTATTATGTTCTGAAGATTACTAAGTAAACTCTCTTCAAACCCACTCAAAAAAATAATATAATTTGTACATTGTAGATGTTCTTGAATCTCACAGTAAATTTTATATATATATCGGAGTGGCTTTATCGACTGGTAATAGAATTTAGAAGAAATGTAAGTAACTCTCATTATTTGTCAATTAAATTGTATATTTTTTTATAAATGTATTAATATTTCAGACGTCTTTAGATAAATTTAAAGTATTATTGCTCGCCCACGTGATATATAACCATACAACAATATTTTTTCCGTCATTAATAATTGAGTTGATATTAAAAGAAGTGGAGGAGCTCAGAAACGATTTGGCTGATAAAATTATTGTCTGTACAAGTGAGTATATGTTATATTTCTTATAAGTTATACTTTTAATGTTTAATAAATTTCCTTGTTAAGTAGCCGACTATAAATAAAAGATCCATTTGGTGTCAAATATAGGAGTACATTAATAAACTATCGCTTATATAATGGGGGATTAAGGTAGCGAGAGGTTTTTAAAGAGTTTTTTAAAGTTCTTGCTCTTGAAGAAATCTATGTTAAACTATGTAAATAAAAAGAATGCCTATCTTCACTTTTCACATCGAGCATGTTCAATATAACTTGCATTAGTGAATTAATGTTCTAACAAAGTGTATAGGGCTAAAAAAGAAGGAGGTGTTTTAAATACATTGGATCCATTTCTGAAAACGGCGTTAGCAAATGCTGCTATTGGTTTATGTCTATTGCTCTAGCTTAAAGTAAACTGTAGACTAGATATTGGAAAGACCGTCCTTTATATTACAATGTATTACAGAAATACAAATCATATGAAAATAACTTGTTTGTAATATTTACTAAAATTGATCGTGCTTGGAAAACTATAGCGCATGACAGGTTCAGAATGACGAGAGTTATTCGGATATAAGGCTTTTATTCATTCAATATTTATATTTTCAGATGAAAGGCGACGAACGGAGATGAAAATGTTACAACGCTACCTTAATGACAAACCATTCATTTACACCCTGTGGCATATTATTGATATTAATTTAAGACTTCCTTTGAAATTTCTTTCACTGTCAGCAACATGTTTAGTTTGTTTCTTACAATTAACTTGAATATATAAACTAAGTGTGGTAAAGAAGCAGTTCATTCGCTTTACAGTACCTATATAGTGTATCACTATTCCTTTTAAGAATAAGA